TGCCTGTCCTGACCCTGCTGCATCTCTCCTTGCAGGCATGATGGAGTTCAGTCTCTTTGGCATCTCCTATGTAAGTGTCCTTGCATGCTCCTCCTCCCTAGGAAGGTGGCCTCATCTCTCAGAGAGCTCCAAGAGCTCACTTTGTTCCTTGTTGTTTCAGACCGGGTCAGACATCTGTGGGTTCTTTCAAGATGCTGAGTATGAGATGTGTGTGCGCTGGATGCAGCTAGGTGCATTTTACCCCTTCTCCAGGAACCACAACACCATTGGGACCAGGGTAGGATATCAGCTTCCTCACCTATATTATGTCACTGGAAATGCTACCTCAGTTTCTGAGTTCAATCTGCTGCCTGCGTTCCCTGGACATCCTCAAAGTCATTAATCCTCTTCCTGTAAACCATATTCTTCAATATTACTTTGATGACTTTTTGCCTAGACTGTTTTATAGTATATCTCATGAAGAATGTCTTACAAATGTTCTTTTCTGGTGGAATTTTAGTCATCTTTACCAGTGAATTAAGAATATTCTAGGAGTCCTATTCATTTCTAAACTTTACGGTTTGTTAGATTTCGATGTTATTTCAAATGGGCCTTTAGTGAACTTTTTAACTCCTTAATTGTCTCTGGAGGACTTTGAACACTTTTCTTGTTGCTTTAGAGACAAGACCCTGTGTCCTGGGATGAAAACTTTGAGAATATTTCCAGAAGTGTGCTAGAGACCAGATACACCCTGTTGCCGTATCTCTACACCTTGATGTACAAGGCCCACACAGAGGGCAGCACAGTTGTGCGGCCTCTTCTCCATGAGTGAGTGTCGAGCTGGGATGCTGGTGAATGTGGACAGTTTATTTATCATGTAGGGTGGAAGTGGATCCCAACAATTTTTCCACATTGAGGTGATAAGTCCCTTTTTTACGAGCTCTCCAGAGAATATCTCTATCACTCCTTCTAGTTCAGTGAAATACATAACATTTGTGTTTGATATAAGATACTTACTGAAGTTCTATAATGAAAGCTCCCAGCATAGCACAATTTCTTTTTTTTTAGGCCCTACAAAGACGTCCCTGTTTGTTGTTGGGATTTTGTTATTTGAACCCTGACCAGAATATCTTCTTGTAACTTTAGTGGGTATTCCAGGGACAGATGACAAGGACCAGCATGTTATTGCATTGTAATGTGCCATGGTGAGGAAATAGAAGATGTGTCGTGGCAGACAATGCATTTCTGAGGTTTTAAGAATACAGCATGTAGGAAATGGGGTCTATGTGATCCTTATCAGTCTAGTGAAATATAGAGAAGGTATGGAATGTAGCTGGATTTCTGACTTGGGTCTGAACTTGAGGACTTCTTTGAGGCCTTGTTCTGAGGCCCCACTGGGGTCACATTGGCACCTTCATTTCCTTTTCCAGGTTTCTGTCAGACCGGGAGACCTGGAATATAGACAGACAGTTCCTGCTGGGTCCAGCCTTCCTGGTCAGCCCTGTGCTGGAGCCTGTGAGTATGGAGACGGGAGGGATTCAGGATTCCACTGCAGGGCTGGTGACTGGGGTGATGCAGAGGCTGGTGTGAGAGGGATTAGGAGACATGTTCTCCTACTTTGCACCGGTCTCCTTTGCTCCTTCTGAGCCACGTGCCATGCCTTCGGTGTTCTTAGACCTTTGATTTCAGCCTAACATTTCAAGGAATAACCTTGTCATGTGTTTAAGGATGTAATTATTTCTCTGTGAGCTAAGGTAAGGTCTGCAGGGTCAAGAGCAGGAAAAGATTTCTTATTTTCTGTTATTCTTAACTAAAATTAACTGGAGAAGTGTTTATAACAATATGTATTTTTTATTTCTTTCATCCTTTAATTATGTCTTTTATTTTTGAGATTATAATGTAATTTCACAATTTTCCCCCTCCCTTCATGTCACCTTTTGAAACCAGCTAGCTTCCCCCTTTCTTTCTATACATGGCCTTTAATCTGGAAAAAACAATTAATTTATTTACTCTGTGTATAATGTGGCTTTTGATAAAATGAAAATATAATTAATACCCCTTGCATCTTTTTGAGGCTGCACAATTTTGTTCTGCTCTGTGGTCAACATTGCCTATTCATTTATTTTGGGAGTGGATGAATACATCTATAATACAGTGGTATTTGATTTTCTCTGAAGAATTACGATCTTAGGGGCTTTGTAAAAGCACTTGTTTTTGGCAAGCTAATTTCTGTTGCTGGAAAAGGAGGATCTTCATCATGGATACCATAAGACAGTTGAAATAAATTTGTCCAATTCTGTTAGCTTTGTAATTATTCCAACTCCTCACCAATGTTTGCTGGTCACTGTGTCCTAGATAGCAGAGTCCACTGCTTACAATTTTTTTGTATTTTATTCCAGAATGCCAGAAATGTCAATGCCTATTTCCCTAAAGCCTACTGGTATGACTATTACACGGTGAGTTTTTCTTTTTATTTGTACAATTCAGAAAGTGGTAGCATATAGCGTGTCAGGATATGGTAGATAACAAGCTTCATGCCACTTCGGGAAATCACCTTTTGTGGTATTGAAAGGTCACTTCATATTTTTGGCCTCATTTCCTAGTATTGCTCTTGGGGGAAATGTTTCAGGAACTAAGAAGGAGTGGCAACATTGCCCAATGTACCCCCCCCCCCCAATTAGAAACAGTGTGTGCAGTGAGAGTGTTTGGATCCACAGAAAGACCTCATCTGGTATGTGCTGTAACTCTCCCATAGCTCCACTCTCCATAAGGTCAGGGATTCTAACAGGGTCTTAAAGCTTTAACACAGCAGAGGGGACAACGTGTGATAATGACCTATGTTGAATGGTGGTGACCGGGTTGTTCAGGACCTGCTGGCTGTCCAGGGAGGTGTGCATTCTTTCCCTCATCACCTCTTCTCCTGCCACAGGGTGCAGACATTAATTCAACAGGAGAGTGGAAGATCTTGCCAGCCCCTCTTGAGCACATCAATCTTCACATCCGTGGAGGTTACATCTTGCCATGGCAACAACATGCCCTGAACACACACTTAAGGTGAGTGATGGGACAGGGCTCTGCTTTGCATACTGTGAGCTCATCCTTTTGTGATGAAAACCACATTTACATCAAGCATGCCTCTCAAGGCCAAAAGCAGTTTTCATTCGGGTTTATCTGTTCTGTTATATGTGAACATGTTTGTCCCTTTTCACAACTGGGCATTTTGTTTGTATCTGTGACCAGAGTGTATTAAAGCCGCAGGTGGTATGTGCTGAGGAAGGATGCTGACTTCATCTCTCTGTCTGTCTCTGTCTCTGTCTCTGTCTCTGTCTCTCTCTGTGTGTGTGTGTGTGTGTGTGTGTGTGTGTGTGTGTGTGTGTG